TAGTAAAGAATTTATCAATATTACTACCATGACAGTACAGAATAATATAACAATGTAACAATCACCAGTATGAAATATTCAACCTTCAGTCATACACATCTTTTGAATTTTTTGGGGTGATACTGAATAACATGACCAAGTTCCGAATAAATCTATCAAGAATTGTGCCTTCTAGAGTGTTTTCATGCTAAAAATTTCAAGAGTAAGGGTAATATCTCATTGAATATTTCTCAATTTTTCTGATTCTCAAAAGGATTCATCCTTTGGTGTTTACAAAAACACTCACACCAAGTTTTGTCAAAATCCTTCAAGAATTGTGCCTTTCAGAGTGTTTATGTGCGATTTTGAACGGAGAGATCGACAGATAGTCATGGGTGACATCAATATAGGCCTATCATATCATGTGAACATATAAAAATGATTAGATGAAATTAATATTGAATAAATATATAAAAGATACGATTAGTTAGTGCATCTGGACATGTAAGATGGTATATTAACAAGTGAAGATGTTAATGAAACTATCTTAGAGACAGATAATTTACTTATGTGTGCTCACAACTGGTGTACAACAACTTTATTTTTTCTTCTTAAATATTCATCTTGACCATAAAATGATAAACCCACATGGGATTCTTTAAATTTATATTATTTCTTTTGTAAAGATCTCTTTTTGTTAAGAAATTGATAAAAATTTCATTTCTTTAAAAAAAGAACAAGTGTAAAGTATGTCTGCGTTAAAAACTAAAAAGGTAAGATGAAGTTGAACTTGTGGTATCTGGCCATGTTAAAAATTGTAATCTGTTGATTTGTACAGGATTAAGAATAGAAGGTATGTAGACAAACAGAAAGATTTTGTTGGTGTTTGTCTATTTCAAATAGTTGACATAAAGATTAACTTTACCAAATTTAAACATTGAACATTGAACATTTTTGTATGGTTGTAGGATGTTTTTTTAAGCATATCAGGTCTACAGGTGTTTTAAATTGTTGAGCTAGTACTATATGTAAAGTTGTTTTGATGTTTGCCATGAGAGTTTGAGTTATGTCACGCCCAAACGGTTAGATATTGTATAACACAACTCGACTTTTCCTCTTACATTACCTATATTCCATAATACCTTCAAAATATGCTGTTTAGATTAGAAAACTTAATGTAAACATTATTTATTAGTGTATGAAATAAGCATGACAATTACAAAAATCTAGAAATAATATGGATTTGGTCTCCATATCAAACAGGTAAAAATCTGAATACAAAATAGTGAAATAAGTATCAAAAAATGTGGTGAAGGAAAAAGAAAAAGAGTGTCTATCTGCAAACTTGACACAGTATATACTATTGAGTAGAATATGTAATGTTGGAGATGTTAAGATGTTTATGTTTGTAAGTATTGAAAGTAACTCATAGTATTACCAAACCAAGTAAGTATTGAAAGTAACTCATAGTATTACCAAACCAAATAAGTATTGAAAGTAACCAACGTGAAATGGGGGGGCATATATTGTCGTCACCCATGTCCGTCAATCCGTCCACAATTGCTCGTAAACCCTCTACAAGGCACAATTCTTGTCTTATTTTGACGAAACTTGGTATGGTTGTTTGTAATCACCCAAGGATGAACCCTATTGAAAATCAGAAAAATATTTAATATGTTTATGTATGTAAAGATGTTAGATGTTTATGTATGTAATGTTGGGATGTTTAATATGTTTATGTATGTAAAGATGTTAAGATGTTTATGTATATAATGTTGGAGATGTTGGGATGTTTATGTATGTTAAGATGTTTATGTACGTAATGCTGGAGATGTTGGGATGTTTATGTATGTAATGTTGAAGATGTTGGGATGTTTATGTACGTAATGTTGGAGATGTTAAGATATTTATGTATGTAATGTTGGAGATGTTAAGATATTTATGTATGTAATGTTGGAGATTTTGGGATGTTTATGTATGTAATGTTGAAGATGTTGGGATGTTTATGTACGTAATGTTGGAGATGTTAAGATGTTTATGTATGTAATGTTGGAGATGTTGGGATGTTTATGTACGTAATGTTGGAGATGTTAAGATGTTTATGTATGTAATGTTGGAGATGTTGGGATGTTTATGTATGTAAAGATGTTAAGATGTTTATGTACGTAATGCTGGAGATGTTGGGATGTTTATGTATGTAATGTTGAAGATGTTGGGATGTTTATGTACGTAATGTTGGAGATGTTAAGATATTTATGTATGTAATGTTGGAGATGTTAAGATATTTATGTATGTAATGTTGGAGATTTTGGGATGTTTATGTATGTAATGTTGGAGATGTTGGGATGTTTATGTATGTAATGTTGGAGATGTTAAGATATTTATGTATGTAATGTTGGAGATGTTAAGATATTTATGTATGTAATGTTGGAGATGTTGGGATGTTTATGTATGTAATGTTGGAGATGTTGGGATGTTTATGTATGTAATGTTGGAGATGTCGGGATGTTTATGTATGTAATGTTGGAGATGAGGGAATAGTTGTGTTATAGTTATGAGGGTGAGAGACAGAAAGTCAAGGATTTGATCATTGTCATATATATTGGAGCCTTTGGGTGAACAGTACAAAAATGTTTGGAACCAAAACATACTCACACCAAAAAAAGTATTGAAAGTAACTCATATTACTATTATTACAAAACCAATTAAGTATTAAAAGCAACTCATAGTATTTTCAAATCAAGTTAGTATTGAAAGTAACTTCATATAATTAATCAAACCAAGTAAGTATTGAAAGTAAAACCAAACAAAGTATTGAAAGTAACTCACATTATTACCAAACCAAGTAAGTATTGAAAGTAACTCATAGTATTACCAAACCAAATAAGTATTGAAAGTAACCAACATGAAATGGGGGGGCATATATTGTCGTCACCCATGTCCGTCCGTCCATCCACAATTGCTCGTAAACACTCTACAAGGCACAATTCTTGACTTATTTTGACGAAATTTGGTATGGTTGTTTGTAATCACCCAAAGATGAACCCTATTGAAATCAGAAAAATATTTAGTATGAGTTACTGCCCATGTTCTTGAAGCGCTCATAAACACTCCAGAAGGCGCAATTCTTGATGGATTTTGATGAAACTTGGTGTGAGTGTTTGTTATCACCCAAGGATGAACCCTATTGAAAATCAGAAAAATCGAAAAATATTAAGTATGAGTTATTGTCCTTGTTCTTAAAAATGCGTTCAAGTTTTAGCCTGTAAGCATGCAAGAAGGCAAAATTCTTGACAGATTTTGATGAAACTTGGTAATATTATTCAGTATCGTCTCAAAAAGTTCAAAAGAAGTGTATGTCTTAAGGTTAAATATTTCAAGCTGGTAATTGTTACTGTACTGCTAAATATTTTTATTTAAAATCAAAGCTGCCAGTGGGGGTATATTACCTTGCCTGGCAAGCTATCTTAACAATTTGGAATAGAATCTCCATCTTCTCCATAATCTACAAGGTCAGATGATTTCTTTTAACACACATTTTCAGGTAGTTTTTACAAGGGATGTAAAGAATGGAATACAAATGAGAATATAAATTTTAAATTGATAAAAATAGAAATACTTAGTTTAGATCTGTATCTTCTTTGATAACAAAGCTAATGTAGTAAAGAAAATATTGAGAGGTTTCTATAATTCACAATTGAATATCGATATAATCTATAAGTAAAGGTATATAAAAATACAAGACATCTAAAAACTAATATTGGTTTAACCACTGTTTAAAAAGACCAAGTAAACTTTATATTATGATGCGTAAGTTATTTATCCTGGCATATAATACATCTTATTCGAGTTAAATCACAGTTTCTTGATTGAAGGATTAAGAAAAAGGCGGAAATTTGTTGTTAATTCTTGTTTGGTAAGAAAAAAATGTAAATGTTAGTAAAGTCACTTGTTAGCTTATCTTCCTTATTTAGTGAAAATAAAATAAAACTAGTAAAGAAGGGTACTGGTAAAAAAAGAGACATATATATATATATATATATATATATATATAAATCAGTTTAAACCTGAGATTAGTAAGAATTATGGTTTCCAATAAAAATGTATAAGACAGTTAGAAGTTGAGGAATATTCGGTTTTAAAGCAGATATTATAGTGATTCATCAAGAAAGTGACTAGGCAGCTGGGGACATTACAATAATTAATGTCTAATATGGAGAATAATTCAGAAAGATAGTAATATTGGGTGTATGATTAGATAAATCATTATCTGTAACATACACAGCCACATGTTGTAATCATATTGTCTTCTTTCTAATTACAGATGTAGCTTAATAAGACAGATGGTATCCTGTTATTCTATATGCTTCTAATATCATCCAACCTCACTAATATCACTTCACTTTCATTCCAAGGAAATGAAGGAATCGTGGATGAAAGAAAAAGACAGAAAAAGTTGATGTGGCTTAAAAGCTTTTAGTCATCATTTGACCTGGTGTAAAATTGGAATCATGCAGAAGAGTGGATGTTTACAATCTATGACTTTCAATCGATTTATTCTTTTACTTTGTGGAATTTATATTGGAATGATAGTTTTTATACATAATCGTCTTCAAACTGATCATACCAATACCCCATTAGAAGATGATTTTAAACTACATTATAAACATATAGAAAATACCAATATTCAACAGTTAAAACACTGGGTTCAAACACAGAAAGAAATTCAACAACTTGCTAAAGACATCAACCAATTTCAACTGGAAATAAACCAAACTAGAATTAAACTAAACACCAAGAAAAAATCTCAGTATTTTGATGGTGATTGTTTAAAATATGGCTATGAAAATGTGGAGCAGAATAAATTTCAACAATTAGATCCAGGAATATTTGTTTATTCTGCTTTTCTCGATGATAGGAAATACGATGTTTATATCCGTATCATGGCTATTGTAGATAAAACAAAGAAAACAGTTCCAATATTTTGTCATACAGAATCTTATAGTGTTTTAGCTAAACAATATGAGATGTGTGAAAATCATAATAAACAACACGGTGGATATATTTATTCTTGTTTACTACCAAAAAACCTCACTGTATCATGTCCTCTTCATGTCTCAACTAATAATGTTAGATCTTCCTCAGAAGCTGTTCTTCCTGTGATAAAAGTTCAACCTGTGGACAAACAAAAACAATTTGGAATCTGTATTTCTCCTTTATTTGGTAGTATACCTGGTGCAAAACTTATCGAATTCATTGAACTATCTAAAGTTCTTGGTGCTCAAAAATTCTACTTTTATGACAATAAAATATCTGATGAAATGAAAGAAATATTAAATTATTATATGAAGAAAGGTATAGTTGAAACTATTCCTTGGTCAATTCCTGTTGGTGAAAATAGTATATGGTACCATGGACAACTAATTGCTCATAATGACTGTCTATATAGAACTATGGGTACTATTAAACATGTGTTGTTTAATGACATTGATGAATTTGTTATACCACATACTGATATGAAATATTGGAAAGATGTATTTCTAGATGAATTTAAAGACCAATATTGTGGCATAGCTTTCTCTAGTGCTTTTTTTGATCCTAATTTACAGAATTCTCACCCTTCTGGACTACAAATCATGGGATTGACATCACGTTCTAAACTTTACAGTCATGTCAGAACCAAAGTTATGACAATGCCATATCGTATTTTCGAGATTGGTATTCATCATATTAGTAAACAAAATAAAGAAAAATGGACAGTATTGAAATATGCACCAGAAAAAGCCTATTTACACCATTATAGAAAATGTATGGGAACTTACGGAATGAGATGTTCAGAATATATAAAAGATGAAATTATGTTTAAATATTATGATGATGTTAAAGATGAGTTCAAGAAGGTTACACAATACTTTCATATAGATTTTAATACAAATTCTAAATTTAACTCATCTAAAATCAAACATAACTAATCCTTGAATTTTAAGTGTGTGGTTTTACTATGGTGAGATGCAGGGGGTCAATTTTTTGGGTGCTTTTGGAGTTTATTTTTATGAAATGCTAGTGATAATGTCTATAAGAAGTGTTTCTTAACTGCAATTGCTTAAATAACTTTTCAATTGAAATCCCAAAACAGCTCTTACTTATAGTATTAATCTTGGCAGTGGTTTGAATCTCCATCTTTTGAGCTGGGTTTGGTGATCTGAAACTCTACAGTTCTGATAAAGATGCTTGATTTAATTATCAATTAAAATGATCAAATTATGTCTCATTTGGTGTGCTATATTATCTTATTGTTATATTAAATTTTTATATGATCATCTTCAGTTAAAATTTTAAAGGTTTTATTTACAGAAAGTTTGTTACGTATAGATTTTTGTTTTCATTCTCATATCTTTTAATTAAGTTTAAAACTCTATTGGTTTTCTGATTCACGCAATCAAAGAATCAATCATGATAAATTTAATCATCATTTCAAGCTAATTTAGTTTTAAGTTTTATCTCTTTTTATGTTCAAATCATTACACATTCTTTAATTTGTTTTTTCAATAATATATCGAATATTGCTAATATTTCATCTTTTGGATATTAATTTCTTTATGATAATAATACTTATTATTTATATTATTTGTTGTTTTAAATATCACATTCCACAACTATTATTATTTGAATTGCTTTTTGAAGATTTTTTATTTTATTCTTAACCAATCACTAAAACTATTTTATTTTATGAAAAATTTTGATTGTTTTAATGTAATTATAATCTTTGTCAGGGCAGTTGATTCAACTACAGTTATTTGTCATGTTTATATTAGTGCTAGAAAACTCTGTCTCTAATAAGTTATCTTCAAGGATAGCCTACCTGTCTGATTCACTGATAATGCAGATGTTTACTTTCGGTTTTTTCTGTTGATTTGTCATCCATGATCTGATGTTATTGATATGTAATACAGGTTAATTTGAATAGTCAAATGCTCTGTTTGATAAATTCTGGATATTTATTGTTAAAACATTTATTAAGGCTTTGTTTTAAAATTCACTTGAAATTTATTAGTCATAGATAGTAACTCCCAAGAATAAACATGTTACAAAACATCTTGTTCTACAACTACACCAAACTGTTACATCTATCAAATTGTCTGAAAACCTATTAAAGTCAAAGTCTAATTATTTTTTGAGAATAATTATGGAAGGTTTAAAATTCAAATGAACATAAACTAACAGCGTTTTTTAGCTCTTAAGTTTAAATAAATTGATTTTAAAATTGGAAATTCCAATGATCATTACTAATCAATCATATTTGATCACTAGAAATTGATTATAAATATATTATAGTATATGATATGCTTAAAGGTAAACAGGTGTGCCAAGATCCATTTTAAGGCCTCTGTTTTTTTTTATATTAAACATGAACATATTAAAGGCAATAAAATTGTTTTGAAATGGCATTTCTCAAGCCTTCTAAACTGACTTAAACCTTACAACTACCTACATTTAAAACCATAACTTGTGTAAACAATCCTTATTCTATTAAACTGCAGTGGTTCATCTGTTATAAGCAATCATGATGAGTTTTAAAATAATATTATTCAGCAACTTTTTTTTTTTTGCTTGCAATTAAGGTATACTGCAATATTGTTATTAAGGCTGTTTTGTTTGAATATATATGGTTATAAGTAAACAACTTGGATATTATTTGTTTGTTTGTTTGTTTGCTATTATAAAATGTTGAATTATGTGGAATATTGGTTGTAAATTTTGTACATTCCATTATGTAATTATTTTATTTTTGTTCAAAATTCCACAATAAAATTATTTATTTTGTTCATCTTGCATTTTTCTATATCTTTGAGGTATTGTCTTTGATTGAAATATATTATTAACCAAGCCTTTAAAATAATTAGGGGCAGCTCAGTAAGAAGGAAACTTGTGCTTAAAGGTAGTTCCAGGTTCCAGCAAGAAATTTCCCTCAGATTTTACAACCCTGCTTCCCCATCTCTTGCTAAAAAAAACTTGATATAGTGCAAATGAAATCTGAGTTTAATCTTGACCTATTGATAAACAATTTTTGAATGTATTTCATAGTTGCCACAAAAAAGCTAGTATAGAGATTAACAGATCAATTGTTAATAGGAGAAAGTTTTCAAAGTTATAGCCCACAGATTAGAACAAAGAATTTGTTTATTTGCTTATTTCAAAGAAATGATAGTTAGGGTCATCTCT